CAGCTTGCCCTTCGACGGCGTGGCCAGGGCATGGGTTGGGCGGTGTAGCAGACGTAGCAGCACCCATGCCCCCACGTCGAATGCCACCTCGCGATGGTGCTCATCATAGTGGCGCTTGGCGTACTGCTGTGCCTGGAGAAGACGCTCGCGGACCTCCACCAAGAACGCGTCCCGATCCCGCAGCATGGCGTCGGCCGCCGCTATCTGGGCCGCCCCCTCCTGGTGTGGTAGAAGAGGTGGCGGCGCGTGGCCGTACACCACCTCGAACGGCGTCGCTCGGAGGGCTGTGTGGAAGGAGGTGTTGTAGCAGTACTCCGCCCACGACAGCCAGTCCACCCACGAACGCGGCCGGTCACCCGTCGCACAGCGTAGGTACATCGCGATCACCTTGTTGACGATCTTTGACTGGCCGTCAGTCTGAGGGTGGAATGCCGTGCTCAAACGAAGCTTCACACCTGCAAGCTTAAAAAGGTCACGCCACAGGTTGCTGGTGAAGACGGGGTCGCAGTCGCTGACGATGGAGTTGGGGAAGCCGTGGAGGCGCACAATCCCCTCGAAGAAGGCGCGGGCGACTGAGGCGGCGGTGTACGGGTGGCTGAGGGCGATGAAGTGTGCGTATTTGGAGAAACGATCCACGACCGTCAGTATGACCGACTTGCCATGGACTTTGGGGAGGCCGTCGATGAAGTCCATTGAGATGTCTGCCCATACCTGCAACGGCACATCCATCGGCTGAAGCAAGTCGGTCGGCTGTGTTGTGGGGGTCTTGTTGCGCTGGCAAGTATCACACGTGCGAAAAAATTCCTGCACGAGTGTTCTATCACCAGGCACGTAGAAGTCTTCACGAAGACGTACGAGTGTCTTCTGGGTGCCTTCGTGGCCTGCTGTGTGCGCCAGGGCGATGACCTGGTGGCGCAGATCACCCTGCTCAGGAACAAAAACCCGCTTGCCGTGGAGCAGGAAGCCATCAGCGGCACGCCACGATGCTGCAGCGTCCCCCACGGCCAGCTGCTGCAAGAGGTCACAGGCGACCGGGTCCACAGCTGTGGCCGCCCGGATGTCGTCGTAGAGAATGAAGGACGGCCCAGACAAGGCGAGCGCCGCAGCTGCCTCCTCGTCGCGGCGGGATAGCGCGTCGGCCGCCGAGTTGAGGCGACCCGGCCGATATTCCACCGCGAAGTCGAACCCGAGCAGCTTGCTGATCCACTGATGTTGGGGAACAGTGGACAGCCGCTGGTCTAGGAGGAACTTCAGGCTATAGTGGTCGGTGCGGACGAGGAAGTGGCGCCCCCACAAGTACGGACGCCGATGCCGGACTGCTTGCACCAGCCCGATCAGCTCGCGCTCGTATGCCGCCAACTTGATATGGCGGGCGGCAAAGGGCCGGCTGAAGAAGGCCAGGGGGCTGACCCCCTGGTGAAGTACGGTGCCAAAGCCCGCGCCCGAAGCGTCGCAGTCAACCATGAACGGGCGCTCAAAGTCGAGCATCTGGAGGACCGGAGCCGAGGACAGAGGCCGCTTGAGAGCAGCAAAGGCCTCGTCCGCCTCTGCTGTCCAGGCGAACGCCTCCTTCCACAGGAGGCGCGTGAGGGGCGCCGCAATGGAGCCAAAGTCGCGGATGAACTTCCTATAGTAGCCAGCGAGCCCTAGGAAGCCGCGCACACCCCGCGGTGAGCGTGGCGTCGGCCAGGAGGCGACCGCGGCCACCTTGTCGCTGTCCATAGCGACCCCGTCGGCGGAGATGACGTGGCCGAGGTAGGCGACGGAGGATGCCCCGAAGGAGCACTTCGACCTCTTCAGGAAGAGGCCGTGAGCACGTAGAGCGGTGAAGACGAGGCCCATGTGCTGGAGGTGCTCGGTCCACGACGTGCTGTAAACGAGAATGTCGTCGAAGAAAACCAGCATGAACCTGCGGAGGAAGGGGCGGAGCACATCGTTCATCAATGCCTGGAATGTCACCGGGGCGTTGGAGAGCCCAAACGGCATTACCAAGAACTCAAAGTGGCCATGGTGGGTGCGGAAAGAGGTCTTCTCGACGTCCGCCAGGTGCATCTGCACCTGGTGGTACCCGGAGCGGAGGTCAAGCTTGGTGAAGTACTTCGCCCCATGGAGCTCGTCGAGGAGTTCATCAACAACCAGGATCGGGAACTTGTCCTTGCACGTTTTGTCATTGAGCGCTCGGTAGTCGATGCAGAAGCGCCACGACCCGTCCGCTTTCTTGACGAGCAGCACCGGCGCGGAAAACGGAGAGGTACTTGGGCGGATGATGCCTTGCTCCAACATGGCGACGCACTGCCGCTCGAGCTCGTCCTTCTGCAGCTGCGGGTACCGGTATGGTCGCACAGCTACTGGCGTGGTCCCCGGCAGGAGGTGGATACGGTGGTCGTAGGCGTGAGCCGGAGGAAGGCCCCGTGGTGTGTCGAAGAAGGCGCCGTGCTGCAGTAGAAGCTGGTCCAGCAGCGGATGCTGCGGGTCAGGCGCGACCGCAGCCAAGGACCGCTGCTGCGAGGGCGCGCCCGGGGCGCCCACACATTGCCACGTCACGCGGCGGCCACCCCTCTGGAAGGCCACGGTCAGCCCCTCGAAGTCCCAAGTGAGGGGGCCCAACTCCCCGAAGAAGTCCACGCCGAGGATGAAGTCGAAGCAGCCCAGCGCGAGCCCGACGCAGGTGATGGGGAAGGACTCGCCGCTGATGACGACGGGAACGTCGCGAGCGATCCCCTCGCGCGGGACGCGGTCGCCATTGGCGACCGTGATGCGCCCCCTACGGAGCGAGCCCCAGGCGGCGCATGGCCGCGCCCTAGAGGAAGGTGTGGGTGGAGCCGGTGTCCAGCAAGGCGAGTAGTCGCTCGCCCTTGATCGTCACCGGAAGGAGCATAGTGCGGTAGGTCCGAATCCTTGCAAGAGCGTGCACAAAAACCACAAGGGCGTTAGCAGTAGCCCCATCCTCCGGGAGGGTCGAGTCTGTGAGCGGCGTCGCTGCGTCGCCGTCCGTGGCAGGAAGCCCCTCGTCGTCGATGAAGTCGTCTGACTCGAGGTAGAACAGGCGGGGGCACACGTGCCCACGCACATACTGCTCGTCGCAGTTGTAGCAGAGCCCTTGCCGACGACGTTCCTGCATCTCGGCCGGTGACAAGCGACGGAACTGTCGAGCAAGCGTCGCTGCCCCCGACCCTGAAGGTGCTGACACGGTAGGAGCGGCCGCGGCCGCCGGGGTAGCCCCTCCCGCGGGCACCCGTGCGGACGGGCCCGACCGCTGGGGAGGACAGACGCCACGCTGCGCGGGCACCGCCATGGCCTCGACACGACGCTCGAAAGCGCGAGCCAAGTACATGGCCGTCTGGAGGTTGCCGGGGTCTCGCATCTCCACGTCCACGCGAATGTGGTCCGGTAGGCCACCCACAAACAGCTCGGCCTTCTGGCGGGTGGAAATGTCTCGGGCATGGGCCAAGACCGCCTAGAAGCGGCCTGCGAACTCTTCCACCGTGGAGTGGAACGGCAGCCGGGCCAATTCCGCCAGGCGGGTGCCTCGGATAGGCGGCCCGAAGCGAAGACGACACAGATCCTTGAAACGGTCCCATGGCGGCATGTCCTCGTCCTGCTCGAGGGCGTAGTACCACGTCTGGGCCGCTCCAGTGAGGTGGTAGGACGCCATCCATGTGCGCTGCGACGCCGGCGTGAACTGACCCTGGAAGAATTGCTCACAATGTGTGAGCCAGTTCAACGGGTCGATGGAGCCATCATATGTCGTGAACTCCAGCTTGTGGAACTTTGGGGGCATGTTGCCCTGCGCGGCCGTAGGGATGCCACCCTCCAGGGCGCCCTCGTTGGAGCTCGGGGCGCTGGTGGCCGTGGGCAGCATGCTGCTGCCATGGAAGAGGGTGCCGTCCATCCCGCCGTAGAGGGTACCCGACGCCACAGGCCCCCATGATGGAGCACGGGCCCGGTGGAGGGTGTCACGGGGACATGCGTCCGGGACAGGCCGTGGTGTAGACGACGTTGGAGTGCCCCATGGCCCAGGCTGGAATCGGGGACGGCGACGGCGAAAAACGGATCATGTGGATGGGGACGTTCGTCGACGGCAGCGGCATGGAGTTGGAGGACGACGGACTGGGATTGGTGGGCATCTCGTAGGGGTAGGAGATCGGCAGCATCGGCTGGGACGGCGGCAGGGATGGCAGAGGTGCGTAGGCCGGCATCTGTGGGTTGAGGTATTGGAGGACGGATTGCATCGTGAGCCGCAGTTCCGCCATGCCCGCGCTGAGATCGATGATGGCTGCCGCAGTCTGCTCGGGCATGAAGAGGGCCCGCGGAGCAGCCGGCGCGCCCATCTGCAGCGAGGCCGACGGCACCAGGGCCGACGTGGAGGCAACCGCCTGGAGCGGTGCAGTGGTGCCGGGCGGGTCTGTCGCGCCGAGCGGTGGCACGGTGGTGGTGGGTTGCGGGATCGACATGGCCAAGTCTGATACCAGGTTGATACAAACTTGAGCCTTGCCTCTGGTGGATCGAAGGTTGTATGAGTGAGTGATGGCGGGGCGAGGCTTGAAGGTTGCGGCACGGCGACGGGGCGGCGGCTAGGGCAATTCCCGACTCCTAGAGGAAGCCTAGTAAATTGATTACTCTTGCTTAAAATCCAATAATCCCTGATTACAAGTATTTATACTTCTATGAATAATATTTGAGATAAATAAACTAAATATATTTCTGGGCCCTTAGCCACTAATAGGCCTGCGCCTGGAATACTGCAATCCCGTCATAACAAAATCCTTCTTTACGGAATTTGCAATGTGGTTACTTTGTACCACAAATCTTTGAACAACCTTTCTCATAAAATACTAATGTTGCATTTTTTTTCTCATAAAATACTAATGTTGCATTTTTTTTTATGTCAAGGAGAACCGTGGAAAGATGTAAATGATTAATATCTTACAGACCACAATTCTATTTATGCTTATCTCATCACGGTACTTATATGAAGTTACTGTGAGTGAGTGAGCGAGCTACGGAGGGAGAGAGCTGAGGGGAGGTTCACTCACAACAATGAAATCATTTCTTGCACCCATGACAAGAATTTCTGTTGTACTTTTTGGTACAGAAGGTACAGTCAATGATGCATTTAGCTTCCCTAAGTCAAACAGTGGCAATTTTGAGCTCTCCTTCATTAATGCTTGGTACCTTTAAGACAGTGATGCAGTATGTTATGGCCGCGTTCGGCTGGTACGGAGGAAGTACTGTTCCCGGCTGAATTTCACTGTTCACGGATGATTTCCTCTTCCAAATTTCTCCAGATTCCTCCAAATTCCTCCAAACGAACGGGGCCATGAAGACACAATAAGAATGTAATCCATAAACAATAGGTGCGCCATGAGTTCTCCATGTCCAATTTCTCATACATAAAAATAATAAAATGATTGATTTGTGGAAGCAAAGGTGAAATATGACAACAGAAGGAGAAGAACCTCATGCAAATTTCAATCAAAATGAAGAGAAAATAAACTATGAACACCATTCTAGTTATGATGGCTACTACTACTGGACCTATCACTTAGGATTACCACTACTACTATAGACCACTCCTCTAAAATAGCATGAATTAATGTCCACAAAAAAAGCTATAGGTATCAAAGGTGGCTTGGTGCAAAGAGTCATTGACTCATGGAAGCAGGCTATAACCACAATTCAGAATAAATCATTCGCCCATTGACTACGAAACAGAAGGTACTGTTGCGTCCAAGGACAAATAGGTGCCAAGTTCATGGTGCTAAAGACTATAACCACATTTTCAAAAGAATATATTAGAGTGCAAAAGGAACTACCAAACATCTCATTACCTTAACACAAGTTCATCATCCATTTGTGCTGAGAAAAATGTTTCCTTACAGAGCGACAATGAATTTGCATATGCTTTTGCAGCCAAGCTGAGTGTCACCTGATAGAAAGTTTATTAAGATTTTAGATATGTTCATAAACTACATAACTAAGTAGATACACGAATATTAACAGAAACCTTGCAAAGATAAGTATGAAGAGAAATGTTATGGCTTCATTTCTAGTTGGTACATGTGTATTAAACATCAAATCATGTAAGCACTTCAGTTTGCTGGTGACCTTAATAATGCCAGTAGTAATATGTTGTCTATGAAGAGAAACAATTATCAAGAAGGACACGTAAAATATTGAGGTAAAAGGAAACAAAATTGACCAAAATGTAAGGCTGGATAATTCCGAACATTTAGATAACAAGTCAAGATAGAATTCAAGAAAATTAAAGGAATATGATTATTTGTAGAATGGTAAAAGAATGGGCATTTCTCATTTATAATGGAGATCGACTGGTATATTTTAGGTCTGAAACAGAATAAAAGTTGGACCAATTTATTTATGCTAGACGAAAGAACTGCAAAATGAGGTTAGCTCAGCAGAATTCCAACAACCATGTGATAGATCTCAACAAAAAAGTGTAATAATGCAGATCCATTTACCTTGACTGCAGCTATTGGTTTAGTCAAAAGGTAACGCCATACCAACCCACTGTAGATAAATGATAGAAAGGAGTTGCATGATGATGAAAGTCAAATAAAGATTGCAAATATGCAGTAGTGGATGTGAGAAAGACCTGTTTCCTGAGGGAGGCACAAAACATACAAGGACAGCACCAGCAAGCTTTGGATGCAGAAGTTCTGAATCAATAAAAAAAAAATAACATCAGACAGATTTTAGTTGCATATATTTTGGATCTAAAAGATGTACTTATCAGTTGATGAGTAATAAAATATATTTTTACTCTTCTAACTATACTACTGAATAATTTGAAACAGGAGACTTGATCATTACATATTAAGTTTTGTAGGTAACCTAACATTGCAACACATGAAAACAAATCACATCTTTGGGATGTTATAGAAGAGGACTGAAGAGGATTTGTTGAAATGCAGGTGAAGTATCTGGATTTATCCTGTTTAACTTGTGTTTGTTATTTGCAGACAATTATAAAGGCACAATTTGTGTACATACAACAACAACAACAATAAAGCCTTTAAGTCCCAAACAAGATGAGGTAGGCTAGAGTTGAAACCCAGCAGAAGCAATCAAGGTTTAGGCACGTGAATAGCTGTTTTCCAAGCACTCCTATCTAAGGCTAAGTCTTTGGGTATATTCCATCCTTTCAAGTCTCATTTTATTACCTCTACCCAAGTCAACTTCGGTCTTCCTCTGTCTCCCGCCATAACTCCAGTTTCTAATTCACTCATGTCCAGCTTTCATCAACTAGCACTACATCGTCTGCGAAAAGCATACATCAAGGGATGTCCCCTTGTATGTCCCTTGTGACCTCATCTATCACTAAGGCAAACAGATAAGGGCTCAAAGCTGACTCTTAATGTAGTCCTATCATAATCGAGAAGTCATCCGTTTCTCCATCACTTGTACGAACACTAGTCACAATATTATTGTACATGTCTTTAATGAGCCCGACGTACTTCGTTGGGACTTTATGTTTGTCCAAAGCCCACCACATAACATTCCTTAGTATTTTATCATAAGCCTTCTCCAAGTCTATAAAAACCATGTGTATGTCCTTCTTCTTCTCCCTATACCGCTCCATAACTTGTCTTATTAAGAAAATGGCTTCCATGGTTGACCTTCCGGTCATGAAACCAAATTGGTTCATAGAGACCCGCGTTATTGCTCTCAAGCGATGCTCGATAATTCTCTCCCATAGCTTCATAGTATGGCTCATCAACTTAATTCTCCGGTAATTAGTACAACTTTGAATATCCCCTTTATTCTTGTAGATTGGTACCAATATACTTCTCCTCCACTCGTCAGGCATCTTGTTCAATCGAAAAATATGGTTGAACAACTTGGTTAGCCATACTATAGCTATGTCCCCAAAGCATCTCCACACCTTGATTGGGATACCATCCGGTCCCATCGCCTTACCTCCTTTCATCCTTTTCAACGCCTCTCTGACCTTAGATTCTTGGATTCTCCGCAAAAAGCGCCTATTGATGTCATCAAAAGAGTCATCCAACTGAAAGGTTGTGTCCGTATTCTCACAATTGAACAAATTGTCAAAATATTCTTGCCATCGATGTCGGATCTCATCCTCCTTCACCAAGAGATGCTCCCTTTCATCCTTAATGCACTTAACTTGATTGAAGTCCCTTGTCTTTCTCTCACGAACCCTAGCTATCCTATAAATGTCCTTCTCTCCTTCCTTCGTACTCAAATGTTGGTAAAGATCCTCGTACGCTCTACCCTTTGCCATACTTACAGCTCGCTTTGCAGTCTTCTTTGCCACCTTGTACTTCTCTATGTTGTCCACACTCCCGTCATGGTACAAACGTCTATAGCATTCTTTCTTCTCCTTAATAGCCCTTTGGACTTCCTCGTTCCACCAACAATTATCTTTATCCTCGCATCCACTTTCTTTGGTTACTCCACACACCTTTGAGCCCACCTTCCGAATGTTGGTTGCCATCTTCTCCCACATGTTGTTTATGTCATCTTTTTCCTTTCAAGAGCCCTCTTTGATAACACTTTCCCTAAATACCTCTGACGTCTCCTATTTCAGTTTCCACCACTTTATTCTTTTAATCTTAGCTTGTTTATCCCTACGGGCACGCACCTAAAAACAAAAGTCTGCCACCAAAAGCTTATGTTGAGAAACAACACACTCCCCTCGTATCACCTTGCAACCCAAGGATGCTCGTTTGTTCTTTCTTCTTGCGAGGACAAAGTCAATCTGGCTAGAGTGTTGTCCGCTACTGAAGGTCATTAGATGAGATTCTCTCTTTCTAAAGAAAGTGTTGGCTATCATTAGGTCAAAAGTTACCGCGAAGTCCAGAACTTCCTCCCCTTCCTGATTCCTACTACCATACCTAAAACCTCCATGAACTGCCTCGAAACCTGCTTTGTAGTACCTACATGCCCATTAAGATGTCCTCCTATAAAAAGCTTCTCACTACTAGGTACAACTCTAATCAGGCCATCTAAGTCTTCCCAGAACTGTCTCTTAGCACTCTCGTCGAGGCCTACTTGGGAGGCATACGCACTAATTACGTTCAAGACCATATCACCAACGACAAGCTTGACTACGATAATCCTATTTCCTTACCTTCTCACTCCCACCACACCATTCTTGAGGCTCTTATCAATCAAAACTCCTACTCCATTTCTATTCGCGACTGTCCCTGTGTACCAAAGCTTGAAACCTGTATTGTCCACCTCCTTCGCCTTCTTACCCTTCCATTTAGTCTCTTGAACGTACAATATATTTACATGCCTCCTAGTCGTGGTATCAACTAATTCTCTTAACTTACCTGTAAGCGACCATACATTCCAACTACCTAAACAGATCCTAGATGGTTTGACTAGCTTCCTTACCCTTCGCACCCGTCGACTCAGATGTGAAGACCCTTGCTCATTTTTCACTACACCCGGACGCCGATGTAGCGTGCCACTAAGGAAGCGACGACCCGATCCTTGCTCACTTGACACCATGCCCAGATCGCGACATGGCGCGTCACCCAGGGGGTGCCGACCCGGCCCTTGCCCATTTGACACAATTTGTGTACATACGTTATATTTTATATAATCATAGCATACTATATAACCTCTGGGTTTCAAAGTCTCGTATCTAATTGGTATATACAATCTAAGTAGCAGACAGTACATCAATGTTTATGCGTACGAGTCAACAACCATGATTCCTGTTTCGCTTAGCATGTGTGAAATATAACGAATGACCAATTAGACAGAACAACTCAACTCATGAGTGAAAACAGTGAAAATAGGCAAATAAGAAATTAAGATCCTCTGGGAAATAGCATCAGTTATTCCCTCCACATTTGACTTTATGACTAATCATGTCAAGACAAAATTTGTAAAGTATCTCCAATTAGTTTGATGTTTTGGTCCCAAACATAAGTAGGCAAGAAATCCATTTGGAAAGGGATTTTGGAAGTAGCATATCTATGTAGCTGAAACTTTTAAGCTTCTGAATGAAGCAAATTCAGTTAAGATGGAACATAAACATGTTGAACATGCAAAGCAATCTTTGAGGGATTATGCCTTGCAAGCATGACGTATATTGCTGCACAATCAAGCCTCCGAATGAATGTCCAATTAGTACAGGTGGTAAGGGGAGCTCCTTCTGGATGAAATCAGCAATATCGCCAGTATGTGTCTACTGCAAGTCAATCAGATATTGGGGGGTAAATCTTGTGAGACAATGAAGTGGGCCAGCTCTACAGAGAGAAGTATAAGCATTGTAGTGAAATCTTTGGCTTAAACATGTTAATTGTCATGTGAGTTAGTTTGTGATAATGCTTGAAACTTTGTTCATAGTGTATGGTTGATATTTCTCAGTGTACTTGTTCAAATGATAGATTTATAGTGTTCATCAAATGAAGACAAAGGGACAGGTCAGTTTAAAGTTGTAAACAACCTAGAACTGTACTTAATAGTATGTTGCATCTAAAGTTACACCCCAGTATACATCTGTCACACATTAATTAGAAATGGACCAGAAATAAGATTTAATTGAAAGAACAGCATCAAGTAATGGAGATGTAGAACAGTTGAGACGATTTGAAACAGTCCACTGTAGCTTAAAACTAATTACCTCAAGAGTGCCTGCCACTGCCTCCTGTGGAACACTGATTTCACCCTAAAAAGGTTGTCACCGAAGCTGCTAATGTCACATGGTCTACGAACAGATACGGGCAACTGGGCAATGCAACAGGTCAACTGAACTGTCACATGCACCGACCAACGCAAGAGGATTCACATATTCAGATAAAATGCTACACACATAGACTAATCCAGAGCCAGGGATTTGTAGTTACTGCATTTTACTACTGAACTGTGAATAACACGACCTATTTTTTGAGGGATGAAAACACAACCTACTGATGCATTTCGACAATTTACCTGCGCGCGGAGGCTGAGGGCGTAGCAGGGGAACCCGGCCCGCCAGAAGAAGGGGAGCCAGTGCTCAGCCCAGCACCAGGCCGCGTGGAAGCTCCCGTGCACGAACACCAGGGGCGAGCGCTCTCCTGCCGCCGGCGGGCACTGCGCGATGACCTCGAGGTCGAGGCCGCACGGCAGGGTGGAAGCGGCGGAACTGGCCCTCTTGCAGAGCGTAGGCGCACGCGGGGCGGAGGAAGGGTCTCGTTGTCCTCCTCCTCGCCGTCCGCGCCTGTGCTGGCGCCGGCAGTAAGGAGAGGAAGGAAGGAGGAGCGGCGAGGGTGGCGATGGCCATGGAAGGCCCCAGCCGCAAAGCGGATGCAGAATGATGGAGATGGGTGGACATGGAACGACAGATAGATATCGGCGAATTCCGTGTGTGCTATAAAAAAAATCGTAACGCACTGCTCCAACTTTTTTTTTCTCTTCGTATCACTGCACTGCTCCAACTTTTTATTTCTCTTTGTATCACTGCCGTTAGTTTGGGTTCTAACGCCCGCCGTTAATTGTAGATGTAAAAAATCAAAAATACTCTTAAGTCTAAATATGTCATTAATTTTGTTTTAAATATCTTAACGACTTCAAATGAAAAAACTCAAAACTAGACAGCTATAATTTTATATAAAAATTATTTTTATTTAATTCTACAAAAAAAGATATGATTTTTCTAAGATATATTAATCATATCAAATCATATTTTTTACGAAATTAAATGAAGATAATTTTATATGAGAATTATAGATCTCGACGAGATCTACAACTTTCTAGTTTTAAGTTTTTTTATTTGAAGTCGTTAAGATGCTAAAAAAATTAATGACATATTTAGACTTAAGGGTATTTTTAACTTTTCACATCTACAGTTTGACGGCGTTAGAGCCCAAACTGACGGCAGTGGCATGGAGGGCACAAAAAAGTTAGAGCAGTGACGCTGAAGACCGCTGAATTTTTTCAAAGGCACACAGGACATTGCGATATTTTTTAATGACATACAAAGAATTCCCCCATAGATATCGATGGGAGAAAAACGGAAAAAATCCATTTTACTCCGTTTTCTAAACTCAAAAACCGAGTATACCATCTCTCTCAACTTTTAAAATTCGTTTATTTTACCTTCCTGGCCCGGTTATAGATGGGTTTCAAAGACGATTTTGTCTTTTTCTTTTTTATTTATCCTGGCTAAATATTTGAAAAATCAAAGTAAATCACAGAAAAATCATAAAATGGAAAATCTAATTTTGTTCGACTCCACATGAGGAGATCTACACAGTAAATATATAATATGATATGCTTTTGTACAAAATTTTTATTGTAGCTTTAGATCTATGCTTTTCTATAATTAATTCATAACTGCAATTTCTATGATCCAAATGTGGTGAATTTTTTATGGTAGTCTAACTATTATATGCTTTAACTATAATAAAATTTCCATACTCATACATATTTTTACACACTTTTAACTATTTTAAAACCATTTAACAAGCATAAACTAAATAAATCTATAACTTAGCTATACATGATCCAATAAACATGAAATTTTTACTAAAATTCAATCATATAATAATTAGTCTTTCATAAAAATTTCACCACAATTGGACCATAGAAACCGTAGCTTTGAATTAATTACAGAAATGTATAGATCTAAAGCTACAACAAAATTTTTGTACTAAAGCATACTATATTATATATTCATTGTGTAGATCTACTCACGTGGAGTCAAAAAAATTAGATTTTCCATTATATGATTTTTATGTGATTTACTATTATTTTTTATAAATTCAGTCGAAATAAATTAAAAAAAAAAAGACAAAACCACCTTTGAAAACCATCTATAACAGGGTCTGGGAGATAAAATGAACGGTTTGAAAAGTTGAGGGGGTGGTTTACCCGGGTTTGAAGTTCAGAGAGGAAATCTATACTTTGAGGATAATTTAGAGTGGTAAAATGGACTTTTTCTGCAGAAAAAACTTCAGAGCACCGCGATGGGCTGCGGAAGAGCTAAATAAACGCTCGGCCCAAATAGAGTAATGGTTGGCTAAGCCCAGCACATCTCATCTTCTTTCTCCTGCGACTTGCTTTTGTCAGCAACAGCAAGGCGGTTTGGCTGGCACCCATGCCGGAGGCCCAACAGGTTCCCAATACCTCAGCCGACAAATGCTCAAGCAGCCGACAAACCCAGGTACGATCGGCCTAAATGCAAGAAATCCAATCCATGTATTTCTCTTCTTTCCCCTAAAAAAATGTAGTTCTCTTCTTTGGTTTGTACACAATTTAATCTCCCTGATCAGTGATTGTAGTAGTATAGTAGATTATTCATATTGGTAACTGATATATAGTCATATGTTTTTCTCCTAATTTAGATGTTGAAATTTTATAATGTTACTTGGGAGCTGCTATTTTACAGACGTCTCAAAATAGGCATCCTTTCATGTGACGAATCTCAGCCATCCGACCCTGATCAAATGACTCTCCTCTTTCTTCTTCCTTAGGCCATTCTTCTTTCTCTCTTTTCTTTCTTCCACGTCGCGCTGCTCGCCCGACCCCGCCGCTGCCCACCGTCCCGTCACGGCGCGGTAGGGTCTCGCCAAAGCTTCACGGCCATGGCCGCGAATCTCCGACGAGACCCTACCGTGCCCACGGTGGCGTCCTCCTTCCCCTCCCCCTCCCGCCACCGCTATGGCCATCATCGCCCCCCGCCCTGACCTCGCCCAGCCATCTCCACCGCCGTCGGGGCCCCTAAACCACCTGCCGTCGTCCCCACCGCCTGTCCGGCCTTCCTCCTCCCGAACCCCTCTTTTTTTCTAAGGTCGCCGGAGTTGGGGAAGAAGAGAGGGAGAGAGAGAAGAAGCTCGCCGGAGTTGGGGATGACATCGGAATTACGGAAGATGCTGGGCAGGCACGGCGGGCGCGGGCGCCGTTGCCGGAAATCTCGGTGAAATCAGGTGACTAAAATGTAGGAAACGTGAATAAATATTTATCTAGGGCTAAGAAAAAAGAAGAAAACTATAAGATCACTTTACTCAACCGCGAAAAGATGATATACATAAGTTCTTTATCAGCTTCGAGTCATATTATTCTCCATGATAATCGTGTTGTAGTATGTTATGAACACACTATCTGGAATGGAGTTTGAGGGTAGAATGAGCAAGAATAGTGTCACAACCCGATCGTGACATAGTCATTATCATCATCATCATTTGCATCCTAATTTTAAATGTAAAAACTAGTTGTGTAAAAAAGTGTACATTTCTAGGCTCAGACTGTTCCCGCGGAACATCTGCCATACAACCGAAATGTTCCGCGGGAACAATAACACAAACTTTTAATTTTTTAGCCAATTCGTATTCCCTTGGACCGTTTGACGCTCGCACGGACCATCCACATGAACATCCCATGCACAACAGTGAGTTGTCACCAATGGAGTCTTCCTGGTCATTGTTGGCGACAATTTCATCATATATTTACATAGTAAAAACCATCGACAAAACATCATTTCTAGGAGATAACAAGCAAAGAAGTAGTGATTTTGGTACAAATAACTTGGTTCCACGTGTACATATCACTATTTGCTTGTAGGTACATAAATAAAGGACTTTGGGTGGTTGTGAGCCCACATAGGGAGTCGGCCGACCACCCTATGGGCCCACTGCCCCCTCTCAAGCCACGGTGAAAGGATCAAGTGCAAGAGAAGGGGATGAATTGGGCTAATCTAAATTTTCTCGTAACAATTAAAACCTACCTCTTAGCCCATTTCACCCCTTGTGCATAGATTGTGTTTCTATGCTACACACAAGTTTTGCACCCTAAGTTCCAACCCTACACTAGCATGATAATTCTAGTAATGTAAAGACATGAATAAAATTACTCAAAAGTAAATGCTCAAATGTAAAGGAGAAGGGTTAGGAACACAATGATGTTTTCCCAAGGTATCGGAGAGTCGACACTCTCCACTAGTCCTCGTTGGAGCACCTGTGCAAGGGTATTGCTCCCCCTCGATTTGTGCAAGGACCGAGTGCTCTTGACGGGTTGATTCTTCGCCACTCCGGCATAGTTAATCATCCACAACCGTTTACACCGTGAGTTGGGATACCCACAAGCTCCACTGGGCGATCACCAAACTCCCGATCGCCACCAAGCCATCTAGGTGATGCTGATCATCAAGAGTAACAAGCGCAAACTCACACTTGACCTAAACAAGCATAACAAAGAAGGTGGATGCACACTTTCTACTCCCTATACACTAGTAAGGTCCTTAATCTTGGATTATCAAATCTCAATCACCCCACTTAGGCAAGAACTCCCCTTGCTCTCAAAGTGTTGTCTCAGCTGAACAAACGAGAAAGAGAGCAATATTGGATGAGTTGGGGAGGTATAAATACCCCCAACCACCCAACTAGCTGTTATGGCTCACTCTTGTCAAATTGGGGGTCGTCAGACCAATTCCCTCGGTCCGACGAGACTCAGCGACTGCAGTATGGAGACTGTGTCAAATAGCATAAAAACTAGCCATTGGAACTCCTGAGTACCGTATGGTCCGACGGTACCCCATCGGACCAGTCCGACGGTCAAAATTCTTCTCTGGATGGTCTCTACAAGCCGTCAGACCGAGGCACTAATGGTCCGCGGCTTGCCTTGTTCACTAGGGCCCGACGCAGCCTTAACAAAAACCCTAGTTGCAACAGTTGCAGCGCATGGTTCGATGGCCCAAAACACCAGGGTCTGATGGCCAACAACCCTTGCTCCTCTCTGGCATTGCCACGTGTGGCCATCAGACTCAACCCTTTGGTTTGACGCCATTACAAAATAGAGTCTGACTCTCAAGTTTATCCTCATTTCACTTCCAATTCAATCACTTTATGAATGAGATCGATTCCAACTAATTCTTGGGCCTTTTTAAAGCTGCCTAGTGCTAAGTTTGACAAGTGTGCACTACACCTAAACCATTAAACTCACCTAGGTCAAGCTACTAGTTCATACCCCCTTTATAGTACAGCCAAAGGAAAAACAAAGTCCTAAACAACTCTAAGTGTCTCCCAACTTCAACTGACAATTATAACTAGTCTGCCCTTAATCATGTCGTCCATCCTTTAAAAACCGAAACAAATTTCATCGATAAGGGCATGAAAACCATTGGTTGTGAAAGGACCTAGCAAGGCCTAGAGAGGGGTGAATAGGCCTGTTTCAAAATCAAAACTCGATCGCAGTGGTTAGCAGACTGCAGAGGCTCAACAGATTTCTGGTTAACCTCAGCGGTGCTGAGGTTTAGGACAAATCTGCTGAGGTTCTATGTACATGAAC